CATTCTGTGATTCTGTGATTCTGTGTCCTCTGCAAGAGCATCGCTGCCAGGTCTTTGTGCATCTCCCTCTCGGGGATGCGAGGACATCGCCTCCTCGCTGCCTGCCCTTGCCCTCCCCATGCCTGCTCATCATCCTGCCGCGGGAAGGGGGACAGGGCGGGTGAAAAAAGCTGCTTAGGATCTATCCCCGGGGTTTAAATTGTCCTGGGTTATTGTTGGAGGATTAAGAGGGGATTTGGTATGATTGGTTGCAGCAGGTTAAATGTAGGCTGGTGAGCACTGGAAGGTTGATGCTCTAATGGGGAAGGGAGGGATGGCTGTGTGCCTGCTCTCTTCGCCCCTTCGTCTTTCATCTCTTTCCTGTGATCGTGGCAGTGGGGGAAAAAAATATGCCAACGCGTCCTTTCTAATATCACCCGCTGGCCCCGGGGTGTGCAAGAGCCTCCGGTGGCTTGTCGTGCAATTAACTTCCAGCAGTGTGTGGTCTTTGCCGGCTTCAAAGAGGGATGGAAGCAGCGCTGGGGAGGACAGAGGGAGATGCTCTGCTGAGCCTTGTGGCTGGAGGGACGAGCCTGGTCCCCAGGGTGGAGTCTGGGTTGGGGTTAGTGGTCCCTCAGCAGCGCTTGGTCCTTCTGCAGCTCCTGGGATCTTCCCAGGGTGGCTCCACAGAGGTGTCCTGGGATGGTGGGTTTGGGCTGGGGCACGGGATGCAGCTGGCAGCTTCCCCAGGTGTTAAGGATAGGGGGAACTGGTTCCTGCCTGCCAAAAAAAGCCAAGTTAGGAGGCACGGGGGGTGATGACCACCCTCTGCGCACCCTCCTTGGGATGCATCAGCATGGTCCTCTCTGCCTGCATGGGACTGTGGGCTCCCACCAGTTGGTTTCGCTGCTCGTTTCTACCCCGTGCTGTCTCTGGCATCGTGTCCCGGCCGTGTCCGTGTTTGGGCAGGTCCCCAACACCTTTCTCCGAAGGCAGGACCCGGCCTCTCCTGCTCACGGTCTGTAGGTCTTGGCCGTGTGCCAGCACCATGTCTTCCCACACCCTTCTCCCATCGGAGCACCCAACGTTTTCCAGGAGGAGAAGGGGAAGAGAAGACCCATTTCATTTCTCTTTCCGATGGAGATGCACGTGTTGGACCTCAGCTCCATATATTATCCCCCCTGAAGCCTGCTGCTGGCACGGCACAAGGGGCGATACGGGCTGAGATTTATAAACATGCTTCAGGCACAGCTGCTCTGGGCTCCGTCGGCTCCATCCATCTCCTGGGGCCGTATATCTCGCCGCGCTCATCAGCCCTTGCAAACGAGTTTCCCATCTCCCGAGTTTTACCTTGTTCAGATAAATCTGGACTCTGCTCCCTGTCAGATTATTTCTGCGGTAAACAGAGCAGTCCGTGGTGGGGAGGAAATATCCATAAAGCTCCAAAAGACCCCTCCACCCCCAGGAAGAGCTGGTGAGGGTCCATGTCCTTGAGCCAGGCTGTTTCTCTTCTTGAATTGTCATGAAAAAGCTGAAACCCCCCAGATTTTCCAAATGCCCGATGCCTTTGCTCTGTGATGCCTTGCTCTCGGATGGTTCTCCAGGCGGGGATATGGGGCTGATGGGTCTCCTGGGGGTGCAGGAGCAAAGCGAAGTGGGGGGATGAAGGTTGTTTCCCCCGAGGTTGGGTTTTCTTGCT